CAAAGCATAATGGTTCACACTGGCCCTTAAAAATTAACTCACAGCTCTTCTTGAAATTCGTCGTCATCACTATAACGAGCCTATAAAAAAAACAGAAGCAAAATTGAAAAACAGCACCGTATGTAGCAAAATGTTGACCAAGGCAACATTTGAATTTCAGGTTCAGGAGATTTTTTTATCGTACATGCACCATTGATCAAACTTCTTTATTTTGGTTACGAATTAAAAAACTAAATAAATAAAAAGAATAAATTTTTAAGCGCGAGGCAAGCTTGCCTCATCGCAGCTACGTTGCTGAAAAAGGTTAGGATTCAGCATGCCAATAATGAACACTGTTAATTAAATTAGATGAAAAAAAAAAGATTTTTTCTCTATATTCTTATCACATTGTTATGTTTCCTCCATTTATCATATACCTTTTTGCTTTTTGAGGGGGGCTGTTGCTTTTGCTTTTGAAACCTTTGGTTGATTCGGTCTTTGGTGTTCCAAATAAAAGACTTAACACTCCTCCAAGTTCGGTGGTCCAGGAGCCCGTTACTGGATGAAATGCATTCTTCGCATTCCTGGCGACCTGGAAAGTTAGGCCCTTCCAAGTATTTCCCGAGGTGTTTCAGAACGAATGCCTTTTTTCAAACGATAAATCAATCAACGACGATTCTTCTATTTGTTACAACAAGATGAAGTCCGCAAGAATGGAATCTATGAATCAGAATTCATAGAGGCAGAAGAAGATGTTTACCTTAACCAAGTCAAATTCACGTCAAAAGTAAGCTCAATGTCATGGTCAGGTAGTAGAGGCTGCCTAGATTTCTCGTCGTACCCCAGTCCTACCAACGCCCCGTGGACATAAATCTGTATGAAGCCTCAGTCTTTGTTCAGATATGGTCTAATTTCGACAAAAAATCTATAAAATGAAAATATTGAAGTTGAAATTTTGAATTTAATAATTTATATGCATCCGTAACACCTTAACATATCAACAATAAATTATCAACACCATCACAATTTCTTAGTTTTAATACCTTCACTTTGAATGACCGTTAAAATTTATAATTTGAGTTCTTACTTGTTGTAATAGAATGCTGTATCTATGAGCAGTATTGACACGATATCTCCTAAAACGACTTCTGAAATCAACAGATTCTTATACAAGAACTTCCAGACCTCAAAAATCACATTTTGTGTGTTTAAAAAGCCATTTCTATATAAAACACCTGCCCATCTTGGTTACGGATTTCTAAATGCCCGTATGTTTACAGAAAAATATTAGTGACTTATTAACTAGTCCCTCACACACATCATCTATCTCCCTCCTATAGCTCTTCGATTGCTTCGCAATCTTCGAGTTAAAAAGTATAATAAAAAAAGGATGAAAGACGAAAAATACTTTTATTACAAAAATTACAATTTCTAACAAATGCAAAACAAATAAGGTTATCAAACTTAGAAAAATCAATCCAAATGTAGAAAATAATTGAACACAACAACAGTTAAACCATTTTATAGACCAGCAACGCAGTTAATAGAATAGCTTACAACCTTGGGAATTTCTTTAGTGATTTCCCGGGCTTGCAGTCAGATGGTGGAATGAAACGTTCTGGGTCGACTCCACCCATGACATCGAAGAAACTTAAGAACCAAAAANATACAATGACTTCCATCAACCGTACTAATATCTTCTTGTGAAGATTACGTTGTCCTCGGCAGTTTTGAAGCTGTAACTCTGGCGCTTTCGCAGGCTATTATGAGATGTAGAATACAAACTACTAAGCCCCCTTATCTTCTTTAGCACTTCTGACAAATGCAAGTTTTGTTCGTGAAGATTGGCGGCGAATTCTAATGACATTATAATTCCACATCAATTTTAAATTTACCCTGACCGAATATAAGATTAAAGCCTAAACTTTTACAGAGAATTTGAGAGCAAATAACATATTCAATTTGAAGCATTCTACATGTTCCAGTGGTTTACCATGAAGGCTTATATTTCACTCGTGTGACCAACTTTACACGCCATCTATTGATTTTGGCCAATCACAAGTCTTGAAATACAACAGCCAATCAAATTCTTCCTCAAAATCTTSAGGAACTCTACGTGACCTCGGAACACGATTAGCAACGGCAAATCACAGACGTTCTCTCCCCGATTTTTTGAGGGGTGAGAAACGGATGTACACAGGCTAAGGTTTATAGAGAAAACGAAAAAATCGATAAAAAGTGGTAAATCTCAGCAAAAAATGCATTTAAGCGCATAGGATATTGTGCTTAATTTATTCCAAAACTATATCATGACTATACCAACAGTGAACTGTTTTTTTCCYCTTATATTTGTACTTAATATATTATTCAGTACAAGGTCAAGGGTTACCTTGAACATTAACGACTACCTAAACACTGCCAATTTTCTCGCCTTAATTCACAAATTTTGTTCTCTCAKCCTTGTCCTTTCCACAATACCAGAAATTCGTCAGAGTAAAACGATTTGAAAAGCAAATTTTCTCATTCCCGTATGCGCAGTGCAACTACCCTGTGAACCAGAGGCTGGATTTACTCGTTCTTGTACTTTATTTACCAGCTGGTTTACGGTTCGGCCTTCGGCCTMAAGGACGGCGCTTSGCGCCGTACATAAAGTACAAGAACGAGTAAATCCTGCCTCTGGTTCCCAGGTACAGTGCAACCGGAATAGCTCCCCAACTGCACTAATCGGTAACTGAAGACTGTGAAGACATGGCACACGTTCATCGATCGGACGAGACCAATGCAAGAATGTACCACGTACATGTGGTAACTGGTTTTCTGAAATGAGTCACATGTAGCCGTTTCATATACCCCGAGAGTACAACCCCCTCCCCTCCCTCCCCGGACTTCATAAAATGCATATCTTATTTTAACTGTATGCATGGTCCTTGCGAGCGTTTTGAACGAATTTGACATCGATAATGGTTAAATACAAATAATGTTTTAACTATTGTTTTAACTATTGTTTTAACGTCACCCTACACAAAAGCCAAAAGACTCTGTACTCCTTATACTCGCATATATGTAAATTTCCTTCACTCTCCTGATGACGTCGGCGACCGACGAAATCTTGAAAGTAAACTCATCACAGCAGTAGCGTATGGCCTAATTTCAACTTGATATTGCACAAATAATGCAAAATATTAAAATATTTCACCTTTAAAATACAAGATTGCTTATTTCAGGGTTCAAATTGCTAGTTTGCGTTCCTGGCCGCTCCGAGAGAGTTTGCGTTCCTGGCCGCTCCGAGAGAGTTTGGGCCTGAGAAACCCCCAAAATATCATCACAGCAGAACACATCTCTCAATTAGCCACGGACACCTCCCCTTCCTTACAAATAGTGGACTTTATGCTTTGCACAGAATCGATATACAGAAAACGATGATGTCATGATGTATACTTTCTTAGATGTCAAAATAAAACAAAAATAATAATAAAAAAAAGGATGAAAGACGATGATTTGAAAAATACTTTTATTACAAAAAGTTACAATTTCTAACAAATGCAAAACAAATAAGGTTATCAAACTTAGAAAAAACAATCCAAATTTAGAAAATAATTRAACACAACAACAGTGAAAMCATTTTATAGACCAGCAACGCAGTTAATAGAATAGCTTACAACCTTGGGAATTTCTTTAGTGATTTCCCGGGCTTGCAGTCAGATGGTGGAATGAAACGTTCTGGGTCGACTCCASCCATGACATCGAAGAAACTTAAGAACCAAAAATAGAAAATGTTAATAAGATGCAAGAATTGGCTTAAAACAGCATGCTGCTGTAGCTTAAATATGAATTTTACCTGGAGTGGATTGCCCCGGTTTCTTTGCTGTATGCGATGGAACTGACAGGAATACAACCTTCTGATGTCACGGTTGTCACGTAATACACTAGTGAATAAGGAACACAATTAAAATATCTGCTAAGGCCGATTTACACGACGACGTCATGCAGGATTTTGCGGTTCAAAAGCTTGGGACATGTTGGAGGCAGCAGGCCTCTAAAAGGTGCAGTTGTCCTYGTTTTCTAGGATGTCAGCAATGTGATATCAAGTACTAAACTGCGTTGTCCGATGATTTACTTTAGCGCATGCTCAGTGTTATATAATTTACGAGCTTATCCCACATGGCTAAGAGTCTCTTCTTTGATCCTTTCAATTAAAAGTAACTGGCTCTGCATTATAGACGGATATTCTCTGGAAAACGGAAAAACGTTCAAAGAGTCGAGCGTCTAGCATTTAAGCCACAAAATATGTTTGTTACGATTTTGATAAGTGCTAGGGCTATACACAAGAGACAACTTCATCAATTAAATGACAGCTGACTTACTTGTCACATCACGTTCCTTTACCTCCCCATAAAAGGTATTGACAAGAACCCCGGTGCCGGGGATGCTTCCTCCGATGTATGCCTCCATGGCAAACTTCGCATCATGTGGGACTTGGGCTGGTCTGAAAGGCTCGTGAAACTCATGAACAGTGCACTCTCCAGTCTCATTGACGCTCAGCTCGATGCGGTACACCACAGCCTGGTAAAACGATCCAAATTAATAAGTAACGAGGTCGTATCGCCTGGTGTTTTTATGCATGTCAGGGTAGGACTATGTTTTAGCAACGGGATTCTTTCGTATCACTCCGCTATATTTTAGGGGTATTTTTGAGAAATTCCCAACCACCAGCACAGCCCTACTGATAATGTACAGGGGTGAGTCTACCTTTCTTCCAACCTCCCTGGGACTGCAAACATCTCGGCCTACCTCTCTATAAAGGACGATGTAGTCATAGAAAGATTTCTTGCCAGACACGTCAACTTCTTCTATGACGCGAACACGTTGGTTGATCTCGTCATAAGAAACCTTGCCAAGAAGCGAAATATTCTTGCTTCGATCGTACTGCAAGTGCAAGCATATTCGTTGTAAGACTTGCGTGACAATGCATTGTGTAATAAAAGTACCTAATTTTTAAATTAAATGCCCCAGAATGCTTAAATAAAGTTGGTAACGACATCATTGCAGTATGACGTCATCAGAAAAGTTGCAAATGCAGCAAAATAAGCGCAATTAGTATAAACATACTAATGGTCTATCACTCATACTGCGCTGTGATTGGCTACTCTACTAATGGTCTATCACTCATACTGCGCTGTGATTGGCTACTCTACTAATGGTCTAATTTGTGATAGACCACTCGCGGGAAAATCAAAATGGCGGCATCTCATTGATAAATCATTTTAAGGATATCTCAATTTCTTTTCATTATTTGACCGATTAGTATGTTTATACTAAAACAATTAGACCTCTCGGCCTCGTGGACTACGAGCTAATAGCCCATTCGGCCTCGCGGACTCGGCCTCATGGGCTATTAGCTCGTAGTCCACTCGACCTCGAAGTCTAACTGTTAAGTAGTCTGTTGCGTGGCCGCTAGATCGGATTTCGTATGTCTGTGCTGCGACCGTACCGTGACGGTGGAGTATTGGCGTTACTATCAGACGAGGTTGCGCGACCGCCATCATCGTGACGAAATCCGATCTATATATTTCAGAAGAGAAATATCTGTCGTTTTTTTCACATATTCACCTGAAACATGCGCCCAGTCCATTCTGGTGGACTTTCTGAAAGAAAAAGATAAATAATACCGTCAGTAATCAGTATATTCAAGTAGATTTGTCACACAATACGAGCACTAAGTACCACCCCCAGGGATTGGAGTCATGAATACGACCCAAAGTAGAATTTGATGCAGTAAGTTCTTGTAAAACAAGATGGAATACGAAACATAA